TGACAGGTTCGATAACTTATCAGAATTTTGCCCAAATAGCAGAGTGACGTCATATTGCAATATGACGTCTCTGACGTTATGTGTGTAATATGACGTCGATATAACGTCCTCTGGCGTCACTCTATTACTTGCGTGGTGTTAAAACTTGTCAGACAACTAATTGTCGAGATTGACTAAACAACGATATTAGCGACAATCTTCCTCTATGTTTTTACGTTACGAAGGTCCTGTAATGTGCACAGTTTTGTTTGTAAGAATCTAAATATGAACGTAGAACATCTGTACGAACGTGCTTTGGTACCGGAATACATCTGAAAACAGCACGGGAAAAAAGTTAGCGTTATATATAATAAATATGATTGTGCACATTGAACAATGTATATGCGTTTAAAACTCTTTAGTAATAAATGAGGGATCATTTTATATTTTAATTATTCAAGAAATATATACTAACATAATAATGAGATGAAAATGCATATTCTCTCGATTATTATGAGATAGATTTGAAAATCCTATTTCAATATTATATATATTTGTGAAATATATCGTATATGAGAGAAAACTTCTCATTTATAAGCTATTAATATAATAGAATAAAATAGAATATTAAAAATATTCAATGGGATTATAATTCAGTTCTTGTACCAAAATATAACCCACAAGGCTTTGTCTAATATAAATAATCTTATCATAACATGCAGTCTTCAACGAGATTAATAATAATCTTACTATTCATTACATTAATTAATCGACTATGCGTTTAGTACAAATGTTTTAAAAGCAGATAACTGTAAATATCATTTATTGGTTTTAGCTTTGATAGAGAAGCTTGAAGAATGTAATTAACAATAAGTTATAAAGCATATCTCCGATAGTTAGTTGATATGGGCCAAATCCAGCTGGAATATTTGTATATATGCAGCGTTTCGCATTTAACAATAATTGCCTAATTGCCAAACTTGCCTTACCTACCCGTTTCTTTGATTTCAATATAATTTTATCAATGTGTGAAAATTACTTTTGTTACACAAAATAGTGTATCGCACACATCTGCAAAAAAACTTCATTTGAACCAATTGCACGTCGCTTAGATTTATCCAATTACGAGAGAAAAAGTTTCGAGACGCTCGGATATTTACTCAACTGCTCTCAAATCACATTTTCCCTTTTGTTGACCGTAACATTTTTCCGATTTTAATGAAAATCGGAGACTATGTTCTGAAAGAAACATTTCGCGACTCCTTTCGTATTATTTATTTCATAATAAGTATATTAATGAAACGCTTTACTAACCTGCCCCTCTTTCGAATTTGCTCCCCCATATTGTTCGTTATATTTTTATCGACCACTTTTTAATTTGAACTGAAGAAGAAAAATTAGACCAAACGCATGATCATCCATAAAAAGATTACAATACTTTTTGTTTATAAGTTTCAGAACACATTCCGTGTCCAATAGGGGAATTTGTTTTTCAATAATTCTCAGGAGATACAGTTTCCTATTGGATATACGGGATACGTTGCGAAACTCACCGGAAAAAAAGTGCTGCAACCTTTTTGTGACTGGCCATGCGTATCTATGCCGGGAATCCCTAAAGAATTTAAACGTTCGATTGGAGAAGTATTTTCGTATCGTGTCGTTTTGGCATTCTTTTTTTAGTCAACGGACATCCATACTATATCCGAACGAGTCGCGGGATTCGCTTATTCACGCGATCCTCCTCGAGATGCTTAATTATTAGCCGGCTCGACAAGCGGGTCGCTTGACTTTCGTGCTGCGAAAGCGCGGTATGCACGATAAGCGCGCTGCAGTCTCGGTTGCACGCTATGCGCTATCGCGTCTGCAGCCCTAATCACCGCCGGCTGGCGTACAGGCAGCCGGCCACTTTCGTATGTCTAACTTTCGCGAGAGCCGCATTTTCGTAAATTACGCCTCCACCCCTCGCGGGTTCCAAAGAGGACAAATTAATCGGCGCGCCGAAAGGGAAATTTGTTAGAAAGGTAAATTTCCCCTGATGATGAAAATGTATCGCGCGGACATGAATCTGTCACAGCCTAAAGCTGAGAGAAAGATCTTTTGAGCTTTCTAAGATTTTTTTCAGGATATGTCACCCATCAGTGTCGTATTTTCAGTACATCAAGGAGCCCGCTCATGAATTGTAGTATTTATCAAGTAAAATTTATACTCCTGTACATTTATTTCATTACCTAAATAACAGATATTAATTTGAAGTTTTTAATTATTTTTAGTTTAGAAGATATTAAAAATCGAAATTGAAGTAATAGTAAAGAAATAAAAATGGCACGCTAATCTTAAGGGACATGTATAAAAAGCGTCAATTTTAGTTGTAAGTATCTCAGCTTTCGAATCTCAATCCCTTCTTAACTGCAGGAGCAGTTAAATAATATTTCAGTGTTTACTTAGTGCAAGTTTCATCGAATTATTATTAAACTCACTTACCTTAATCTCTTTTAACCCCCCGTTAGCCGCAATACCTAATAGATACCATCCTAATACTTATCGATTTGTTCTTCACTGTTTTTTACATACTTTAATAATCGGTCTATTATCCAAATGTTAATAAATGAAAAATATCGCGATTAACGGAGGGTTAAAGAGTGGAATAACTTTTGATATAGGCTTTGAATTGCCATCAAACTTTTGGCGTCACTTCAAATGCAATGTAGATCGATTAGTAATTTTATCAGAATTTGTTTCATTACTTTGAGTTATGTATGATACATTCTTAAATCAGTTTTTTCTCGTTGTATTCGTTTCTCAGCTTTGATAAATAACAGGCGCTGATCGAGAATTTGTCTTTCTCCGCGGGGAAGTCCGCCGCCGCGTGGCTGTTCGTGTGTGGGTTCGTGTGCACACGAAAGGTCGGGTGCCGACAACGCAGAGAGATGAAAATCTTGTTTGGAAATCTCGCGTTGGGTAATCCCCGCGCGAGAGCTCCGTGTTATCTTTGTATACTTACATTCCATTATCCTTAATGAGATGCAAGTTACACTCTTCGCCGTTTTGGCGTTTATACTGTTATAGCGCCTGTACTTACTTGACGTAATACGTCACTTGTGCATCGTAATCTTTGCCATTCTCCGGCGAGTCTAATTTGGCCGAATGATTCAGCTCTGAATTCTTGTCATGCAAATCGCTCAGTTTTTCCTCGTATTCTTTGCTGTACACTTGTTGCTTCTTGTTAAAGAGAGTAATTCCGAGACATCTGCGAAACGTCTCGGCTCCGCAACGGAACATGGAATTTCCTTTCGTTCGCCGTAGAATTCCGACGCGCGAAACCGAGTTTTCAGCTACTCGAGAATTTTCAACTCTCTCTCTCTCTCTCTCTCTCTCTCTCTCTCTCTTTCCATCTCGGCCGTGTCGCTTGTCGTCGAAGAAATAATAATACTCAATTGAATTGGAACCGTCACACGCGCGCGTGCGCGCGAGATTCGTTAGCGAAACCGACACTAACAAATGACCGGGGTTGTACCGCGGAACAATGAAAATTTTCGCGAAAATGCGTGACTACATTATTCGCCGTTAGCTCTCGCGAAAACGCGGCGAGCGCTGACGAGCGGACTTTGAAGGGCCGTAAAGCGCGACCGTGGTTCCCAGCCGTTTCGACACAGCCTTTTCTCTCTTTATTTACCTTTTTTTTCTAGACGTTCGCTTCCCTGCGGGCGAACGCGTCACATAATGATGAAAGCTTTCGAAAGCGCATATTTTAAATGTTATTCGAGCGATCGCTCGACACGCCACGCGAATGCTCTCGCTCGAAACGAGTATTTTCTCTTTCGCCGGCTACGATTACAAAGCGTTCACGTCGGCGACGTCGCGTTGATAACGTGTAATTTTTATATCGCGGGATCGACGGGGAGGGGGAGGGGCGGAGAACCATGTATTATCGATTTGAATAAATTAAACGTGATCGATTCGGTTATATTGTTAATTAACACGCGATGGGGCACGTTCGACTGTCACGACATGTCGGGACGGAAGCACGATGTTGCGATGGCGCAGTGGGAGGGAGGAAAAATGAACAAGGTGCACAAATATACACCGTCGATATAGATATAGAAACGGGGCCGCCGCATGCATAATGGATATGCCGGCCGTTTATAAATGCCGCCCGTTATACTCGGCCGGTGGTTTTCTCAACGCGGGGTTCAATCTCTTCCCTTTCTTGCGCCGTTACATCAATTCGGCCGCGGAGGGTGTCGCTTTATCTTGCCCTGCCCCGAATCGGGCCGGGTTAATTGTGCATTCGTTTCGTTACGGGCGGGGAGAGGCGTCCGAATGAAAAATTACGACGAGATAGGGGGAAAGAGAAACGACGAGAGAAACAGAGAAAAAGGGTGGAGGAGTGAGAGGCTTCTCCTCGGCATAACTTGGTGAATTCGTCCGCTCGGATCAAGATTGGAGGTCTTGAGCTGATTAAACCGGCACAAAAGTTCGTTCGCGTTAATTGCGATTGATTTCCGCGAGACGCATAGTCATTGCAAGACGCGTTGCTGATCGATCCGAAGGAAGAAAAATGGTCGACGCGATGTACGAACACCACGATGAAGTAATGTGAAACAACGGTAGAACGTAATCTACAGAAATCGCGAGATATTCGTGTTCGAGCGATGTAATGATATAGTTGTCCTCGTAGAACTCCGAGCGACAAGAAGAGATCGTCTCGAGGCCATTACAGGGTGGGAGTTCATACGTACGTAAAACCCCTCCTCTCTCTCTTTCTCTTGGAAAAACGACTGTGAAACTTCCTCGATCCTCGACGGCTTGCGACGATTTAATGCAGGGCAGCATCGCCTGCAATAGCGACTATAGGAAGTGCGAATTTACGTTAGCCGCAGTCCGGCGTATGCTGCCATTATAGGCGACGTGGATTTACGCCGGACGCATGTAAAGTAACTACAATCACGTGCCTCCGTCGTCCGTCCTCGTGGCCATCCTTCGATCGATCGTCCGGCAATCCGCTAGATTTTCCGTTTCAGCGTGTGCGGGATCCAGCACTTCCAGAGAGCGGGGCACAGACACCTGAACCTGTTTCAAAGCACGTACTACGTCGTAGTGACGTTCTCTACGGTAGGCTACGGGGATATCGTGCCGGACATTTGGCCTTCGCAACTCTACATGGTCATCATGATCTGCGTAGCGCTCATAGTGTTACCAACGCAGGTGCGTATTCGCACATATATACACCTGTGTGTGTCTTTAAGGTGTATCTATGTATTATTTGACAAGATGCAATTTCAGGGTTGTTAACATGTTCGCTATCAACGTGTATGACAACGATCTCTCACGAGAGGCGTCATATATGCATGACGGCGGACAATTTTTTTCTAATCCACATCGTAAAACTAAGAATATTTTATACAATTATGTAAAAAAATGTGAGATAGTCTGTGCGAAGAATACCGAAATTTCAATCTTATATTAAGTCTATTTAATCTTCAAAGTTCTTCTTTTGTTCTTTCTTTGATGCTACAATCCGAGTTGTAATTTTGGTTCTACATCGAGTCTACTTAGTTCTATATTAAATCTTCAAGTGGAGAAAACGGAAATAACTTCCCATTTGTAGCATTAAAGAAACACTAATAATAATATTCCTTTGATGTTACAAAGGAAATTTAGACTTTCCGGGGGGAAATTTTAAATTCTACATTAAGTTTTCAAGTGGAGAAAACCGGAAATATCCTCCCGACTCCGTTTCCCAAGTCGAAATTTCAGTTCTATATTAAGTTTACTTGGTTCTACATTAAGTTTCCAAAGATCTTGTATCATACTTCCTTTGATATTATAAATGAGAAGATATTTCTGTTTCCTTTATTTGAAGACTTCCCCCAGAGGTCTAGATTCCATTTGTAACACCAAAAGAACATTATTAATGCTCCCTTGATGCTACAAATAGGAAGTTATTTCCACATAAAGACTTTAAATAGGACCAAGTGGACTTAACGTAGAATTAAAATTTCGACTCGGGATGCCTCAAGTGAATCCTGGTTAGCGGACGTGTTAATGTCTCAAGTTCAACGTCCAAATCATGTGCGAGTCGCAATGTGATTCGATGCGTCGGATCGATTTACACACCGACGTCACTCCCCGAAGAGAGCGGGCTGTTCCGCGAGGAAAGCTCGCGCAAGGGTGATGCGTGCAGCGCGGCCGCATTTAACTCGCGCGCGCGTGTTCATTTCGTTTGACGCAGTTCGCGGCCGTGTTCTGCGTAACAGCGCGTTCTTTTATAGACGTTATTTTCAAGTCACGCCGTGGGGAAGCTCGTAAATGTAATCGAAACGGGCCTCGTCTTGCCTGCCGCTCATATCGCTCGGCGGCACGGTTGCCTCACCATTATAGATATTTATTATTCCGTCCGGCCGCAGAGCATATAACACTTTTATTTCTTGCGTAATCGGCTGAGAGAATACTCGTCGGAAGAAGATCAAGTAGTACGTTTGCATTCGTGCGCGATTGTAAAAAGAAGGAACAAAACTGTTCAATTAATTAATAAGCAAGTTTGCTGATCATGAAATGGGCAGTTTTGCTTTAGAAGTACTTCTGAATAAAACTTTATCAAATTTTTGTCTATTTTCTAAACGGTATTGTTACAACTAATGAGAATACATTAATATTTGATAGTAACTGGATTTATATACTGAGTGACTCCGAAAAAGGTGGCCAAACTTCGGTACTGTATTTTATTTTTCCTAAGGATGAAAATAGGTCACATAAACACAGGTCCGGAAACTCTTCCTTTCCGAGATATAAACACTTTATTGTCTATGATAGAATATTGTAGGAATGTTTGAAGCTTAGTTTACACGCTTCTTGCATCGTCGAAATATAAACACTTTTGTCGACAACGTATATCGTAGCAAATCATTTTGTATCTAAACGTTTCGCAGTTAAGATAGTGTTATCAGGATGAGTTATTCTAATATCGAGTGGACAGTGGACATTCATTTTACGTATGGATGAGGCAACGGGAACACCAGAGAAGTTCAACGTCTCTATCGACAGACCTTTTCTCAGAGACGATGTCCTGCTAAAAGTAATTTGCTTCGGTGCATCGTCGACTTAGGGAAACTGGACATTTCACACCTACTACAATGAACCGAGGACAAAACAGACATGTTCGAACACCTGGAGTTGAAGGCCAAGTACTTAAACGTGTCGAAGAAAGTGTAGAACTAAGCACAAGACATATTGCATTAGAAATGCAAAAAAATGTTTCTTACGAAACTGTACGGAAAATTTTGCGAGACAATCTGTTATATCCTTATCATATACAGCAAGTACAAGAACTTCTACCAGTGGATTTTCAACCACGAGTAATCCTTTGTCAATGGTACTTGCAACAGTATATTACTACACTATATTTCGAAGTATCTGTACTTTTTACAGATGGGGCAAAATTTACGAAATGCTATTAGCGTTATTATAAATTTTCACAATCACACGTGTGGATGTATGAAAATTCGCATGCTGTTAATCAATCCCGATACCAATATAAATTTTCATGCAACGTGTTGTGGACAGGAATTATTGGAGACTTGCTTATTGGATCAGTTTTTCTTCCATTTCCACTCAACAGTAGAAATTATACATAATTTTTGGAAACTGAACATTCTACATTATTACGAGATGTACCATTGGTAACACGCACTTGAATGTAATTTATGCATCATGGAGCTTCGGCTCATTTTAGATAAACTGCTAGAATATATCTTAATAACAATTACATCAATCGGAGGATTGGCAGAGGACGACCAATTGCTTGGCCTGCACGCTCCCCTGACTTAACTTCTTTAGATCTTTATTTATGGAGACATCTTAAAAGTTTAATCTATGATAATAATACCATTGATAGTCTGGAGACACTCATAAACCGGATTATTGCCGCATGTGACAAAATTCGGAATACACTAGGAATTTTTGAACGTCGTCGATAATCTTTACAACGTCGATGTGAAGCGTGTATTGTTGCAGAAGGAAATCTCCAGCAATTTTTTTAAACAAGCTTTAAACATTTCTATATTCCATTCCAATACTTAATCATAATCAAAAGTGTTTATATCTCGGAAAGGAAAAGTTTTCGAATTCATGTTTATATGACCTTTTTTCATCCTTAAGAAGAATGAAATACGACATCAAAGTTTGGCCACCTTTTTCGATATCACCCTGTATAATATATATAAGTTCGTTACATAGTATACCTTAAGGAGCCTTGCGCGCACCAAGCTTGAATAAATTTATCTATCTAGCTCTCTCTTCTTATCGAGAATATCGAACACAGTCAATTATCGAATTATTTTGCATTTTTTATTGGCTATTCTCTCAGTCTCTCTCCGTCTTTCTCGGTCTCCCTTATTCTCTCTCTCTCTCTCTATCTATCAATCTATCTATCTCTATCTCTGTTTTTTTTTCTTTTATCGTTGATGTCAACATGACATTTGTTTGCTCTGTTGACCATATTAGTTTCTTGTACCCGCATACAGCTTGGATACATATTTGCGCGCACGTACTGCTGCCTTTCCGAGAAAGAGAAAAAGTAGCAGGTTGTACGAGGCTAACGAAGATTTGCTAACGAAGATTTGTGTACCCTCCAGGATACGGCATAGCAACTTTTCTTTCGCAATTGATCGCTCGCTTGTACAGCCGAGAAAAACTTTCCGCTACCCGGGGCTACCTCCTTCCGCGTTACGTTGCCTCGCGTCTAAGTCTCGTTCACGGTATTATTCGAGAATTACTTCGCTCGATATTGCGTTATTCATCATAAACGCTAAAACGCGATGCGTGGGGATTTTTTCTCTGCTCGCATCTTTATGTGATACATGTGTCAGATTTGCCATTGGAAGAGCTTTCGATTATTATTACAAAATTTTTTCGCTACGCACTGCGCTCCGCTCGCTATGTGTATCTTATTAAATATTTCTGCGCTGCACCAGCTAAACAACGGGAGTCCTGGAAGCGGGACAGTGCGACGTGAAGTTTTCCTCTAAAAATCGAACGACGAGAGTGCACGATGAATATAAAGCAATCACAAGTCAAATATATATATATACGACGCTGAGCCGATAATTAATCGTCGAATTGGTTTAGCGCTCAACAGGAGGGAAAAGGGAAAAGAGAAACGAGTGGAGCGGGGGAAGAGGAGTCCGATTGGCTAAAGAGTATTATTAATTGCGCAAAAGCGCGACACGGACAACTCGCATCTACTCGTTGTCCGTCGGCGTCGACTGATTGCGTAGTGGCGCTCAACAGCGGAAAGCCTCGTCACCTGTTGTAATTTGTCTGTCAAATTGCCTGCCAATCGCACACGAGATATACGTGCCAACTCGCGCGGGTCAACACGATGTGTTGATCCCCCCTCTTCCCCCGCGTCCAATCGTGTTCTCCTCGCCGCGTTTCCGCGTTCGATTAAATTCGGCGTTTTCGAGGGCACGGGATCGCGCGCGCGCGCACGGCCATCGAGACAGCGCGGACGCGTTTTAAAATAATTCGATGTGAAAACTTATACCTTGGCGAGAGGAAGGGAGAGAAAGAGAGGAGGAAGGAAAGAGAAACATTTCGACGACTCCGCTCTATTAGTTTCCGATTGACGAAATTTGACGAGGACGATTAGATACTCGCGAGTGAAAACGCGTAAAATTGTAGTCGACGGCACGCGCGTCATACGTTAAATTGACGCAGCCATGACGCGTATTATCGAGATATCGTATTAGTATAATCGAAAATTTACACACTGAAAAGAAGTGCTACTATTCAAGTAATATTTATATGATCCAAGTAAAATGGTTACTCTGATATTCCTTGGCAAATATTTATATGAAAAATAGAAATATAATTGGCTATATAGAATATATTTCCTTCGTACAAGTTTACATTTATTTGTATGTGTTTAAACATTTGTGACAAATATTTAATTTATAATATTGAGAATATTAGAATTTATTTTTAGAAAATATTTACTGTACTGGAAAATCGAAATTTAAAACTACTAGATCTTCTCAATGGAGAATATAAGTATCATACATAATTCTGTTGAGTACTCTCTTAAATTCTTTTAAAGCCATTTTATACTTACATTCAGTAATTCATTTATAAATTGAGATATTACTGTGTTCAAGCAAATATTTATCACAAGCTATTAAAACACATTTGTTAAAAAATTTATAAAAATATCATTTGATTTAAGACGCTGGAAAACTGGTAATCATGTTTATTTGATTCTCTAATACTTTTTTCTGTGTATAAAGTAATGAAACCTTAGGAAGATCGACGGTCCGCGAGTCAAACGCGCGGGTATTGGCGCGCGAATGATCTTCCTGAGTGATCTCTCGCAAAGTTCGAGACGGCTCGATCACTCCTTGGATCCTCCTCGGTCGCTCACAGACGTGACTGAGCAAACGGTAGAAAATCGAATATTTTACGAACATCTCCTGAGGAAGAATGGCCATTTTATAACTTTCCCTTTACGAGATATTTTTTTTTCGAGGTGCTCTTCCCTCGCGTTTTCACGCGTGTATTTTGCTCGTCGATTAATCCTGCCAACTCAATTGGAGCCTTCTCTCTATTTATCGGGGATTTAGCTTTCCTCTTCCCTCCCAATTGGTTTCATTACGATTTACACAACGGGCAGGTGCATTAGCCGATTGCATAAGCGTTCTCATATCGGTTGCAGTTCGAACAATTAGCTTTCACGTGGATGGAACGGCAGAAGCTGGGCGGCTCGTACTCGTCGCACCGGGCGCAAAGCGAGAAGCACGTGGTGGTTTGCAGCACGACTCTGCAAGCCGACACCATCATGGACTTTCTAAATGAGTTTTACGCCCACCCCCTGCTGCAGGTTAGGCGATGAACGAATTCACCTCCGCTGAATATTTCGCTTGCCTCGCACCCGCGACTTCGCACTCTCGCTGCCTCTCGTAAAAACTCCCCGTCGAGCTTCCGGCTTATTCCGCGGTAGTTAAAGTGGATGGTGCATTTAATTCCGAAATGTCACCGGGCTCGAATTTAATGTTGCGAGATGAAATCGAGGCGAAGGCCGTGAGAGTTGACGAAGTCGACGGGCCGCTTGTAAGATATAACGAACTAGGCACCACATTTGCCGCGCGCTCACTGGCATCCAAACGAAATCATTGAAAGAATACGTGTGTGAACTCGAGAATATGTGTGTACCACCTAAGGAATATCATATGTATCAGTCGTTCTATGTAAAGAGGATGTTCCGTAACCCGCGACCTTAATTTTACCGAGAGATTCTCGAAGCGACTTCGGAGATGATTTCTCCTTAGCGAAAATGTCAAGGGAAATCATTATTCATGGCGACTTTTTAATTCTCATCACGACGTAACTTTGTAACTGAGCATCGAATTAAAATTCCGATAAGGCAAAATTTTTGATCGAGGAAAATAATTTTGTTATTCATTTGGTCGCCCGAAGTTTAATTCGCAAGAAACTCCGCTTTTTCGAGATCGCTTGTATCTCAGAGACTGTCGATATTTCAATATTTTCGCCGAGGAAGAAATTCATTCCAAATTACTGAAAGTACTTGTCGCACAGTGGTCCGAAAGTAAAAATTTTTGGCCAAAATTCTAAAATTTGATATAAATTATTTTTTATATATTGAAAATGTCTTTAAAGGAGAGAAATAGCTACTTGCGGTTCAATATTTATCTTACTTCTTTTTAGATAAATAATACAAAATAACTTTATGAACAGCTTCTACTAAAGGGTGCATCATTTTTTCTTTCACAATATTTTTGAATAGGAAAAGAATTTATATAATTTTGGGAAGGATTTTTTTATCATACAGTCGGATATTTTCATTTTCCGATTTTCCCCAAACCTCGTACGGAATCCAGCAGGACTCGTTATATAGATCTGAAAAAGGTCAGTTATTTTCAAAATGTGCAGAAGAGTGTAAAATGAATCTAAGATTGCTGAGACTCGATGGCGATTATTGCACAACTATAGTTTTTTCAGAAATTTTTTCTCTCAAAAAAGTTTTCCTGAAGTATTGGCAAGAAAACATTTTTCTTGTAAGCTTATGCTTATTTTAACTATAAATCTAGTTATTATCTCCTTTCAGAAATAAGAACGCAATATAATGTGAAATTACTTCGTGGTATATTCTTTTGTGCGTTGAATATATATATTACTATCATTACTATTTAACTCTAGAACACCACGCTTGGGCGTACTACACCCATGCTATTATCGAAATGCCCGCCGTTTTTATATCGTGAAATGTAAAGGATTGGTATTGGAGAGGAAAAAAAACTTCTGTTTTCCTTTTATGACTCTCCATATTGCGTAATTCCATTTACCGTTTAGTAAATACAAGGATAATCTTGACAAGGGTAACCGTGTTACACATGTGCGATATTGGACGCTTTACGTCGTATCGTTGTTTCTCATTTTTTTTTGAAAATTTACATCCCTTATCTTTAAAAATTGACAGTTCCTTTTACATAATAGGGCTTTGAAAAGCTAATTTTTTTTTAATAATATTTTTTATGATTTAAGAAATTTATATTCAGGCTTTACTTAAAAGTAATTTTTTTTTAAACTTCAATCGTAATTACAATGACACAGACACATTTTTGGCATTCTGTCGTTTAAATTAAAAAAATTAAAAATAAAAATATCCACTTTTCGAAGAGTTATTAGTAGTCGAAAATAGGTGGAAGCAATACATCCCAGCGTGGTGAAATCGAGTCTCAGGAAAATGTGATGTGTTCTAGAGTTAAAGTAATATAATGTGTAATCTAATAGCACAATTTTGTGACAATGTGACGTATATGGCTAAAAGTTATCTTGGAGTAAGCAATATTTTTATCATCACATTTACCGATGAGTGATAAAAGAATAATAAATGACGATTTACGATACAACAGTTTACGATTATTTGACAATAGAACATTATAAAACTGCGTTTGTATCAACTTGAGATGAAACTTGAAAAAATGACTCGGCTAAGAAGTATCAATTTTAGATCATTGTGCGTCAGGATAAAAAAGATCGCGAGTTCTGGGACACCCTGAGCACGCGCTTACGTTCACATTTACCTCATCATCTCTCGACCCTGATAATCAAGCACCGCCCGATTGTTACGAGCAGGATTATTACGTTGTGCTGTTGTCGCCAATGGAGCTCGACACGACGATGCGGATGATCCTGCAAGTGCCGATCTGGGCACAGAGGGTGATCTACATACAGGGCTCGTGCCTGAAGGACGGCGATCTCGCGAGGGCCCGGATGAACGAGGCGGAGGCCTGCTTCGTGTTGGCGGCGAGGAACTATGCCGACAAGACCGCCGCCGACGAGCACACGATACTCAGGTCGGTCTCTCTCTCTCTCCCGTTCTCGCTTCTACGATGAATTTCCGATTTACGTTGCGGACAACGCGCAGACGCTGTGTTTCTCGATATTTTCTACGTCGACGTTTATTACATACACTTCGCGCGCATCCCAGACTTCTTTCATTTAAGTTCTACTTCTTCGGAGTTCGTATTGAAGCCAAGTTGCCCCGTTGATCTTAATCGCTAAACTTCTCCGCAGTTGAATTCTAAAGCGCAGGCTTATACGCACGCGAACTCGCACAAAACTTCGCGGCGAAGTAAGTATCGCGATATTCGTGATATCCGAGGCATTGGACGCGTCGATATTTCGTTCGACGGCCTGGATACAAAATTATAATCGAGGCGTGCCCTAATCTGTAGTGGCCTTAGGTAGGCATGCAAAATAGGCTTGTCTTCGTTAAGCCTGGATAGGATTAAGAAAAATAAAATCTGAATGAAATTCCGTAAATAAGCCCTGAATAGGTATTGACGTGGGTGTCCCTAACAAGACATGTGCTCATAGGGCCTAATCAGGGCTAATTCTTAAAATATTAGGTACCAGAAAAGTTCGTGCGATTTCCTTCTTAGCAATAAATTGAAGTCGGATTTCAGTCAGCAATTCGCACATGTAATGCATGAAATTGGTATCAACAGAAAGTTACATTTATGTCGTTGGTATACATGATGTGCAACTTTCAATTGTTCCAACATTCCGTTGTTTATTGAGGTTAAAGATAGATAGCGAAAAGTTAAAAACTCTTGCTTTCTTGCTTTATGAATTTAAACTTGAAAATACAGCAGCAAAACGCATTTGTAGCGTGTGTGGGATGAAAGCACTCTCAGCGAAAGGACAGCGCAAAAATGGTTTAAGCGACGTTAAGGGAGGTAATGAATCGCTAGAAGATGAGCCGCGTTCGGGATCCATCTGTTCGCGTCCATCTGTTAGTCAAGATGATGAACTGCGTGGATTTGTGCGTTCAAACCTACAAAATAGGTGTGCAGACGTGGAAAAGGATCATCGAAATCAATAGTGACTCCTTCGTCAAATAAAACTACTTTTTAAAAAAGTTCAGAACGTTTCAATTTTGATCTAAGAATCCGCACGAACTTTTTCCGGTACCTAATACTTTAAAGTAAAGTCCTAAAGAGAGACTTAAGCGAAATCTACTATAACAAGATTGAAATAACACCAAATCAACTAACTTTAATTGTCAACTAATTTTGGCTCTAAAAAGTAGTAAAAAGTAGGTTCTAAAATCAACTAATTTTGGTTCTCAAAAGTAGTATTTAAGTAAAAAATTTAACACACACAGGCTACAAGTCCGCATTTGAATTTTCTTATAAATAGATAACATAATAAGATATGGTCTAGTCAAATGTATCAAAATAAGGCTTAATTAAGCATGCTAGTTAGATTTACAAATCTGGTCTTAATTTATATGAGCGTAACTTTTCTATCTAGGGCCTAAATGGGCTTACTTTTACATAGCTTAAATACAAGTGGGGAGAAATTGTGTAGGACCTTTCAACTCCTCGTTTTAAATTTCTGCCCGAGGGTTTAATCGCGAAATTCTGAACTAACGCCTGCACTGAAAGAAAATTACAGTTATTTTCGGTGCCAAAAATATCTTGTTATTTTAACCATAAAAAATAGTAGTTGCAACATGTACGTAAAATTATTATCATTGACGCTATAGTAACATTTACTGGAAAAATAGTTTTCTAGATTATGCTTGTGGTTAAGATAATAAAAGGATATTGTTGGCATTGGAGACAATTATAATTTTCTCTCAGTGTGAGGAAAAGAAAAAAAACGTGCGACGCAAAAGGGGAGGGGAGTGTCTGAATTTCTCACGGGGCGTCTTGTTGCTCGCAGGTCCTGGGCGGTGAAGGATTTCGCGCCCAATGTTCCTCAGTACGTTCAAATCTTCCGTCCGGAGAACAAGCTCCACGTGAAGTTCGCGGAGCACGTGGTGTGCGAGGACGAGTTCAAGTACGCCCTTTTGGCGAACAACTGCACGTGTCCAGGCGCATCCACGTTGGTCACTCTGCTGCTGCATACATCCAGAGGACAGTAAGTTCCGAGCGAGATGTGTCGCGAGTATTTTGCAGGAGGGAATTAATTACGAGAGCCCACGTGCGTTCGCGTACAGTCGCGTGGGCTTCGAGCGCGGCATTCGTGTGTTTTTCGGTCGTTTAACATTAATGTAAATTTTAATGCAGAGCAAATTAATGCAAGCATGTAATTTTGCAATATTTAATGCAAATAATTGGATATCGATATTTCGAGTATTCGCCCGACGGGCAAATAATTCAGCCACACGTTTGACTATCGAGTATTCCTCACGGGGACAGCCGTGCAAATTTCAAAGTTCACGCGGAATTACGATTTGATAAGACGCGCGCGAAGTCGAGATACTGTAAGAGCGGCGTCTTTTTCACAGAGAAGGTCAGCAGTCGCAAGAAGAGTGGCACCGGCTATACGGTAAATGTTCCGGCAACGAGATATATCACATAATTCTCGGCGACTCTCGCTTTTTCGGGGAATACGAGGGAAAATCCTTCACCTACGCGTCCTTCCACAGTCACCGGAAATACGGGGTCGCGCTCGTCGCAGTCAGGCCGGCGGAGCTTCCGGAATTTTACGAGGACACTATCCTGCTGAATCCTGGTAATCGCGCGCGCGCACGCTTCTACGCTCTCTTGACATTTTCCCGCGCGGCTTTTCGTTAGCTCGCAGTAAAGTGAAAGGGAGCAAAGAGGTTATCTCATCCTTTTCACCATCAGAGTTGGTATCTTGTGTACGCCGCGTGTCGAGTCGACAAATCCTCCAGGATCGCGTTCAATATCATGTGTGATATATTATGTGTATAAAGAGAGAGAATTAGTATTTAATATATTAATATAATTTTATGTGTGCAAACATGCACCATATCAAGCTACTAAATCTATAGCGTGCACAGAAGAAAAAAATTAAATAAAATCTATTACGGGAAAAACAAGTTTGATGAATTTATCAGACAGTGAACGAACCAAACGCGTTTTGTCTGGAGGAAACAGAATTTCCGGTTCTTATAGCCCAAATTCGGTTCTTATGATCAAAAATTCTATTTCCTTCAATCAAGACGCATTTGGTTCGTGTTCACTACCTTGTAAATTCAATCAAACTTTCTTTTCCGCACGAGCATATCAAGTACATTGCATGCAAACAATCTAGATCCGTTCAATGATGCTTTTTGTTAAATGCACGCGTATTTGATTCACTTTTCAAGTCGATTTTCTTGAAAATATAGCTTTGTGTGAAAAACATTTATTCTACATTTCCGATTAATTTTTTTAAGAGGAATCCCCTCTCCATTTGTACTATGATTACCGGTTCACCATGTATAATAAAGTAACTTTCAATAGTGGACATGCATATTCCCGAAAAAAGAAGTACCGAAATTCAGAAAGTGGGTCAACATTCCCGAAAAGTCAATCTCGAAAACTGAATATCGGGACAATCTCTCGAAATACTGGAAAACAAAATGAAGTTGTCTCAGAAAGTTGTAACATTTCCAAATATTTCGATAGATCGTCCCGGTATTCAGTTATTGAGATTGTAACTTTTTGGGATGCCCTTACACTTCTCTGATTCCGGGATTTTGATTTCTCGAGATTATACCTGTCCACCGTTATCGACCGAAATCGCAGCAGCACGAACGTGTTTCGTAAAGTTCCGCGGGCGTGAAATTTCCCCCGTGCGCAGGGCCACGGCACATAATGAAGAAGACCGACACCTGCTACTACATGAGCATCACCAAAGAAGAGAACTCCGCGTTCGTGGTGGCGAACAATCAGAGCGCCGTGATCGGAGAAGGGATGCAGGTGATCGTCGAGACGAAGACGGACCCGACGTGCGCGAGCGGCGGCGGCCCGGCGGCGTGCGCTACGACGACCAGCACCGCCACGGCGACCATGAACTCCACGGGGGCGACGTCGGCTGTGACCACGACGACGACAACCACTACCACCACGATATCGACCAGCTGCACCGTCGGCGGCGGCGACGGGAACGGTACAGCAATCAGCAACGGTGCCGACGCGCACCAGCGATTTTCCAACAGTTGTAACGTTGCGCTGATCGAAACACTACGCAGGCAGGAGACCTGCACGGGGCCCCGTGGGCAGGACCGCTCGCAAAACGGTCCGCAAGGTCACAGGGCCCCGTTGCCGCCGCAGGTTATTTTGCAGGTCCTTCCTAGCACGCCCACACCAATCCAACACCACAACTTACTCGCATCCGATGTCCACCGTGAGTGTCGCATGCGCAACGCTGCTTCTACTACTTCTTCTATTACATTTCTCATAGTTTTCTTTTCTTTCTGTTTCTCTTCTTCTTCTTCGATCTTGGCTAATTACCAAAGGTACAAAGAGATGACGATTCGAGACGAGCGTATCTGATCGCGATCGTAGTTCAAAGCGCTTTGAAATCTTTATTTAATTGGATTTACATTTTCTCGCATACTTGATGGTTGTATTAGTAGGTCTATCGTAGTACAATGAAACATCCGCTTAGGCAGTCTTCTTTGACGCTCCGATAGAAGCTCGAATCTCATCGCAGTCAGTCATTCGTACACTCACACGAAACACGCTCGCTTTCGCGCTGTGGATGTAGAGCCGAGGCGGAATAATTGATGGGACATTGAGCATCGCTTTCGGGAAAAGGAGAAACGGCCGTGTTTTCTGAACCCGTGATTCCCGAATTCGCGTGTAGTTTGTCAGTTTCCTCTCTCTCTCTCTCTCTCTCTTTCGGTTGGCGACTTTCTGCGTCGTCATTGTCGTCATTGTCGTCGTCGTATAAGGCTCGCCCTACAACATAACGTTCTATCGTGAAGTGAAATTACGTAGAAGACCGAGGGACTATAACGCGCGTTGAATCGCATGCACGATTAAATCCATACACGCAGTGTGTTGACTAACGATAAAACGTCCGAAACGCCCGGCCGTTCCTTCCTTTTCACTCGCGTGTCTTTTCCGACGCGGCGATATCTCTCTCTCTTTCTCTGTCTCTCTGTGTGCGGTTTACGCTTGCACGTTCGCTTTACGTGTAATCCACGCGCCACTGTTTGTCCGCTATTCAGCGTTCGCCATCAACAACTCTCGATAAGCGCGACTTCTGAATAGGAAACCGCTGTAGTCTATGCCGTAAAATATTGTCCCTTGCTCACTCGCTTCATTGCGGATCCATGTCTGGCATTTGAACTAACCCACCGTGTGTGTGTGTGTGTGTGTGTGTGTGTGTGTGTGCACGGTAGATCTCGTAAACGCGAACTGATCTGGATTGAACGATAACCTGCGAAATGGCCACGTCTAAGGATACAAACGAGTAGAAACGAAGGAGAAAGAGAGAAAGGATATGTATACCGCAGAATGTTCCCGAAGTCATATGTTAGTCCTGGTTTACAATAGATGTTTTAAGCTATAAGCTGCAAGAAATTGACCAACCACAGTAGAATGCGAGGAGAATTGACTATAATTGGTCAATTTTTTAAGGCTCGAGAGGGTATTCTGGCTTGAAACATCGTTTTGTAGGCGACCTTTATGAATATTTTCTGGAAAAACTATATCATACAATTTTGAAAATTTGTATGAATATTTATCTACGTTTTAAGTATATACAAATAATTTTTACACATTATTGTATTCAGTATTAAAAAAGACATAAATAATTTTATATAATGCTGAACCAAAATGTTATTTGCATGGTTGACACGATTCTAAATGTAGATTTCTGAAACCAAAACAACAAAAAATTAAACTATAAACTTATGATTATTGTTCCTACCATGATGGGAAGTTGAAACTGATTTTTAACAAAAAGGCACGACTTAAAAGAGAAAAATCGACTTTCGGCCAGTTCTTTTTCAGTTTTGAAAACCCTTAAAAGTCGAAATATTGAAGATATTGATTTCATCGTGATCGGCACGATAATCACAAGTTTATAGTTTAATAATTTTTTGCCGTTTTGGTTTTAGAAGTCTATAACGTCCGGAATCGTATCAACCAATATTTTGCATTTAGCGCTAACAAAATTATTTATAACTTCATTAATATTGAATATAATAGTGTGTAGACATTACTATATATAGTTAAAACATAGATACATATTTATGCAAAACTTCAGAATTGTAACCCTTATAGTTTCTTCAAAAGAAATTCCTAACAATCACCTATTAAACGAAAGGTTCCAAATAAGAAAGGTTAAAACACTACTGTAGACCAGGACTTGCATATCACATTTTCTTTGTTTCCTCTACGCGTGGGACATTTTTCTGCCGAAGGGTTTGCTTTCTCGTCGCGGACGACATGTGACGAATTTCGTTTCAACGACGGTGTCGTTCTCTTTCGTATACGCGGGCGCTTTCTTGATTCTCTTCTTCGCTTATAGAGTGCGGTGGCATTCTCTCTCCACTCGACGATTGGCAGTTTTGTAGAGCGGCCGAGTATCACGCGGGTTGTATTATCGGAGTCACTCATCGCGCTCGGCTTTACATGTTGCAGCGACTTATCTCGATCCCGGAGGGTTCGGGGACTCGAGGCAGTGTCTGAAAGAGGGAGGATCGACGCCGCAAACGCCAATCACCGGAAATCACCTCGATGTGCCACGGTCTCTCGACCCGAATCCCAATCTGCTTAGCCCGGAAATTCTGACTCAAAGGAGAGGTCAGTCGTTATACCGATAGCCCCATCGCCAGATACATTTCCGATACGAGTACCGACAATGATTCCCTCCGTACTTTCGTACTCGTTCCTCTTCTTCGTTATCGTGAATGAAAAGAGAAAAATGAAGAGCGTTCTACTGTTCGCAGATCATCATTAAACGAGCGGGAGAAATTTTATTTTAGTTTTCCGCGAAATAAGACTAAGCTTAAGCACGAGCTCACCGACGGCAGATTTAACTTAACGACGAGGCTAGAATCTGTTTAAAGGTCACCGCGCGCGCGTAGAGTTTAAAGGACACCATCTACGTGACATAATTTCGTTGAGAATGGCGTCCTCGCGCAATTGACACACTTTCGCTGCGTGTGTAAAGTAGTTTTCAAACACTTCTTCTTCTTCATCTAACAGCTACTTTCGATTGTGACGTTTCAGGGAGCAGAAGACCGAGTATTTTACCGGTACCGGACATGTTAACTAGCTCGACCTTGCACCTGCCCGGTCAAGAGTCTTTGGACCACGAGGGCGACGAGTCGGAAGATGAGATGGACGACGACGTTCCCTGGCGATCGCCCAGCGAGAAGATCGCGTAAGTATGTTTTGTCGTTTTTTCTTCTATTTTTTTTTCCTCGCCACCCATTGACGTGACACATCACGTCCAAGGATCCCGTGGGGATATCACGACGTCGATCCTCGACGATTATAGCAGTACAGAGAAAAAAGGTCGTTGAGGTTTATTAGAGAGACCGTCAGTCGAGTAGAGAAAATTATTCATTAGCGGGAATCTGTCTCCTCCTTTCTCTTCTTCTGATCTGTTTAATATCTGTTATGAATATATATATAGACTTTATATATAGCACTATATCATAAGATCCTCTGAGGAGGAAACGACCTCGCACTCTATCTCGTGCACCTGCATGACACGGTCTTGTGCATCGAATTGTTAATGTGCATTACGTATACATATTTTATATCTCTTATATATGCATACTGTATGTATTTTATCTATATATTTTATATTTGCGCAATGAGACGAAAAAAGTGTCCGAAGAAGACTAGTGAAAGGGAATCTTGATGTTGATATACGTCGACCTCGCTCGTTTTCTTCTTCATTTACACGCGTCATGTTGTACGATCAATTCATGATATTCACGTTGTGGTCAACAAAAAAATGGAAAATCGAGAATTTGGCAATCTCGTACTTTCCGATGGATCGTTACGCATCAAATCTGATAGTCAAAGTGTTCAAAGTGACTTTTTGAGCGAGCCATTTTTCACGATCCTTTTACTCGATTACTCCGATTTTTTGCGTGGTATCTCTTTTCACGCACTTTCATCGCGCAATTAATGACGAGTGTGCGTGAAACGTGACACTCCGTTAATATACGGAGTAGCTCGCTACGCTTTCTTCCGAACTCTCGGGAAGAGGGAAAATGCTCGTTAAAATAGCGCTCAAAATAACGGCATGATACAAATTTTCTCTACTTTCGAAACTGCATCTGTCAGTGCTGAATTCTGTCTTACCTTACTATAAAATCTCGCTGAGAGAGCCTGCCACGTTGGGCGCGGAGTTACCCGTGTCCTCCTGAGGAGAAAGACGATACGGTCGTACCGGGTTGGCGCGCTTTTAATTTAATGACCTCGTTAATACTAAAACGCGGACGCGTCAAGAGGCCACCATGATCGTATCGTCCATCTTCTAACCGCCAGAAGAGAGGAAGAGAGAGAGAAAGAGAGAGGACGATTACGCGGGTACCTTCGCTCCGTGACGATACGCGAGTATGCACCGTGCACGCTCCGGCTCGATGCACTTTTATCTCTTATCTTAGATGCTCTCAATGCCGTCATTGTCTCATCGGTAGGACAGCGTATTAGTCGTATTCAAGAACCTTTCGGCGTCAGCCGTGCGCCAGAGCGAAATATGCGAGCGGTCCCACATGCAATTACCGCGACGACGCTAATGAGTCTGTTCGCCAATTCCGCTCGCGGAATTGTCGCGCGCAGAAGTCTCGGGAATATTAGAATGAAAGCCGGTGAACGTACTACGGCCCATCCTTTCGACGTGTTTCACTCGATTAGATCCAACTGATGCTAGTGTTGTGCTCGTATATAGTATAGCAACATACGCACTACGTGCTCATTCACTGATGTCTTTACTCCCGAGATTTCTTCGGCTGAAATCCGACTCGAGGCGAGTGAAAGTTCACTCGAAGCGGAGATGCTGTCACTCGAAATCACAAAAGTGAATACTTTACATGAAACTTCAAGTGAGATTCTTAATTCGTAAACGCTTAATTCATACTAGTGAATGTTTTGATTCGAACTTAGAGTGGATTCTTTATCCACTCGAGTGAATATTTCAAGTAATTAGTGAATTTGTTTCTGTAAGACGGTGAAATTACACAATAAAAAATTTTGTGTTAAAAACGGTCTACTGAAATCATGTGTTATTTTAACATGGGAAAAGTATGCAAATATATAATATATTAACATAGTCACCTGTGTGTTGAAAAGTATGCAAATATATAATATATTAACATATTCACCTCGTCAACATATGTTAACATATATTCACAGGGTGAATATGTATTTTTTAACACATATTTTCCTTATGTTAAACACAAAATTTCAGTGGACCGTTTTACCACGAAATTTTCTACTGTATAGAAAATTGAGTAAAGACCGAGAATCCTTGCTGATAGCATTGTTTCCGATCGTTAATGTTCGTGTTTCTCTTTCTCTTTTCCTTTTATATTTTCATGTTTTTCATAATTATAACTTTCATTGTTAGGACAGTAATACTAGCTACATTGTTGATGTCTTATTGGTTCATTTTTTGATCTTTATTTATTATTTTTGTATCTCACTTTATCTCTTTTCTGCGTTCTTAAATCAATAAAGTTATTATTATTATTATCATTAAGTACGTCAAATACTTCTTTTTCGAATAAAAATATTCACTCCGCAATTCGGAAAGTAAGAATTCATCCTACATGAGCGAAAACTTCTCGACTTCTCGACTCGCTCGACTTCGAATGATTCGGCTGTCACTGTGCTTTTCGAGTAGATTTTAATTGAAGAAATTTAGAGAGTACATAGATGAAAAAATTTAGCAACATAGCGTCGAAGTAGGAGCCCACTTAGCTCGGAGATAGATACCGGTCTATAGAGATTCTTTGTTTCCTGTTACGTATCTTCATATTACTTCGCACTATCTTCTCTCCGTCTAACCCATGAGAACCACGTTGCGCGGTGTTACGTGTACGAGCAAACGTATCTGAGTTCCGCGAAAGCAAACATCTCATGCCGACGCACCGGATCTTTCTTATCCGTGTCTGATCCGTTTAAGTATAATCGTGCAAGTCGATGGTTTGATGTGTCCTGTCTCAATGTCTCTCGATGCCTGTTTCACTAACGGCACCGGACGGTGCCGTTGAATCGCTGCTCGATGCTGTCCTGCCTGACACCCTATATGTCCTCCATGGATGTTTTCGATGTCTTCCTTCCTGCATCGTCCTTGTACACTGCCGTCTTGCCGCACGACTTCCGTCCAGCAGCTTCAAGGGGTGAGTCCTTTCTCATTTCTTACGCTTTTATCACGTCTCGATGAATTTGATTCGCTTGTTCATTTTTCGCAGAATATATACACCGAGAGGAGGAAAAATGATAAAAAATTTTTTTGTTAAGTACTAATAACATATTTACTCAAATACAAGTTCTCTTATTTAAATGGAATAAACATTTGCTCTCATACAATGCTACAAATTTAAAAAAATATATTTTTTCTTATTTGTATATTACATGTATATTATGTATAATATTATATTTATATTATTTGGAGTACAAATTAGTTCGATCCGTTTTCAAAAGATGCAAAGACATGACAAAGTTATTCTTCTGCATGATAACGCTCGGTCTCATGTCGCAAAAGTCGTAAAAAATTATTTGGAAACGCTCAAGTGGGATATTTTACCGCATCTGCCGTATTCGCCGAACATTGTTCCTTCTGATTACTGGTTGTTCCAACGGATGCAGCACGATTTGGCAGGTCACCGGTTCACTTCTTTCGCAGAGATCGAAAAATGGCTCCTAACTTGGATCGCCTCAAAAGACGAGACATTTTTTCGAGATGGAATTCGAAAATTGCCTGAGAGATGGGAAAAAGTAGTAGCCAACGATGGACAATATTTTGATTAATCTGTTCATTCATTTTGTTCTGAAATAAATGCATTTTTGACCACAAAAAACGGAACTAATTTGTACTCCCAATAGTATAAGTAAATATGTTATTATAGTACCTACAAAATATAAATGTTTTTTATTTTTTTAATATTTTTTCTCTCAGTGTATATACATATATAATATATACATATATATACATACATACATATATACATATATATATATATATATATATATAGTTTGTACACACATCTCTCTTGATCTTAGCTTTACACTTGATCACAACGATATATAATTCACGTACGTAGAGAGCGGTACACTTAGCTGAACTTGAAAAATTCGCTTAGTAGAGAAGGTGTTGTGACGTATACGATAACGTCGAAAATAGCGGCGCTCTTTCCGATGATACCGCACTCGTAACACTCGCGATACGAATCACCGATACCGTGCGGTCTGCCGGCGACGTGCTAACCACTCCGAGGATTAATAATGATCGAGGCTAAGTGTCGAAATTCCACGAGACGCTCGAGACCACGTATGTCGAGCGTCATCAATTTCCTCGCGCGATGCTTCCGAGCACTTTCAGCGCAATTAATCGTAGGTATAAATCGCAGTCGACGGCGACACGGATGTTATAAATGTTTTCCGGTCAGACATGACACACTATCGCGATATCAAGCACTATTTTCACACACGGTTTTCACCCCGCTTGGCTCGCGTGACGTGACGATACTCACGGGATTTCGGGAGGCGGTGTAAAACCACTCATACTTGTTCACCTGTCTTTTCTTTTCTCGCGTGACATTCGTCTTTGACTCGCGGAGATTCCAGAAAATCGACGAGCGACATTCGAGCTGAAATCGAGCCGTTGTGTTAACATCTCGCGAGTCTTCTAAAAAAATTACCGCACGTGCGGTCGTGGTCAGTCCAGTAAATCCAGTTTGACACTCGTGAATCAAACTGACCCAAGCCAAGAATTAAGATCCTACAGATTTTAAGTCTTGAATTATTGCACATATAAGCATAGAATTCTTTTCTCAAAGCATGCAAAAATTTTCACTTCTGATTGGAAAATCGATACATTATCCTCTCTTGTATCTCAAATTATCTATTTTAAAAATAACGACGAATTTTTGCGACGAATTTGTCAAATTTACTTCCTCTTGCATACTCAAAGCTATTATATATGTACACTGCGGATAAGTACATTTATATATAATTAAGTAAGGGCATATAAAACAGTTACCGAGTCTCTCCGAAGTGAGTAGCAAAAACTAAACGTGGTGGCGAAGGGTCAATGCAAAACGCGACGTGATCGACTCTATAGCGAGGAAAAAACACGTTCTCGGGTAGTCGCTCCTCGCCCTCCCAAGCGACGTCCGTTAATAAGAAACACGTCGACGGAATTTAGGTATCGTCGTCGCAGAGGCGTCGCGGCGCGTAATAGAGTTTCGACAATGTTGCAGGATCGTCAAGGGATTCCCGCCGGTTTCGCCCTTCATCGGAGTCTCGCCGACCTTGTGCTACCTCCTCAAGGAAAAAAAGCCGCTCTGTTGCCTTCAGCTGGCTCAGGTATATCTGGTGGACGATTTTTTTGTCAAAATATATAATACGAGTAAAAGAAGAGAGAGAGAAAGGAAAAAAAAACTTGGAAAAAATCCAAAAGCTCAAAAAATTTTCTTCTTACCGTCACTCACGATTCTCTCGATCGTTTTTTTCACCAGGTATGCCAGCATTGCACCTATAGGAACGCCAAGGAATACAATTGGCAGAACAAGACCATCATACTGGCGGCGGATTACGCCAGTAACGGGATTTACAACTTTATAATACCGTTGAGGGCGCATTTTAGGTAGTTATCGTATCCATTTTCGATGCTCTTAAACAATATCGTTCGGCGTAGTTCACGCACGCATGTGCGCGAGAATCCTTTCGTTTCCGCGACCGTACCAAGCGCTAAGGGTTAAAATGGTTAAGAGCTAGTCGTTGCTCGACAAGCGACGCGAGCGGAGTTGACGGGCAATTAACGAGCGGGGCCGTTTGCCAGGTCGAAAACGTCGCTGAATCCGATCATCCTCTTGCTGGAGAGGAAACCGGAAATCGCGTTTCTCGACGCGGTGTCCTACTTTCCGCTGGTCTACTGGATGCGCGGCTCCATCGACTGCCTGGACGACCTTCTGCGGGCCGGCATCACTTTGGCCGAGAACGTCGTGGTCGTAAACAAGGAGCTCAACAATTCCGCCGAAGAGGACACGCTGGCTGATTGCAACACGATCGTCGCAGTGCAGACTATGTTCAAGTGAGTTTTCTTCCGCACTTATCGCCTCCCCGCCGGGGAGTCATCCGGCGAAAGGCGTGTCGCAGTGGTTCACGGCGAGCTTCCGAGTTTTCTCGTCACGAGAGACATTCGCGTTGACATTTTTCCTGAAGCGCACTCGGAAATTCGCCATCACCTCGTGCGCGCGCACGCGATCTTCGCGCTGACGTCCGCCTTGGTATTTCGTCTAAAGCACGCTCTGAAACATGCGATCACCCCGCGTCTTTCTTCCCAAAGCAGAAATGTATTTAGTCGATGAAAAGTACGGTTGAAGTCAAGTCTACGTCGTGTGAAAATCAATGTTCGATTTGATATTTATAAGACTTCATCGCGCTATCTAGAAGATATTATTTAGATGTTAAGCTAGTCGTTATCCAATTTATGTCATGTCCATATCAAGTTGAATATAACGATTCGACTTGGATATGATACTGGCTAAGTACCGACTAGATCGTCAATAATCGGTCAACACCTATCTATATCTCTTCTACATAAATAGCTAGATATTGACTATATATTGAAATGATATTAACGAAATATCACATAGATCTGTCGCAGCGTTGATTCTCTTTTACATCAATAACAAATGTAGTGGTCATTAAATCGAATAGCCCAAAAAATCAATCGTCAATATCGAATCGATTATCCACTTGTGAACCCGGGGAATCCGAAACTTAGGTAGTTAGTACAGGCTAGATGAAATTTTCTAGCTCGTTATTAGTTCATTACTAGCAGATTAGAACTGGAAAGATAGATTCACTGCATGCGTTGGTCGACAGACTAATCCGACACGCACATCATAACATGTTAAATATGCTTATGTTCTACCAAAATAACTAAATAGTATGTCGACACACAGAAAGAGAAATATTATTGTATTGGGAGAAAAAGCTATTATTCAGTTTATTATTCTTCTTTTAAGAGTAATAGTTATCTTGAACAAAGATATTTTTTTAATAATAATATTAAAATACACCTATCACAAGTATAAGAAAAATGTTTATTATCATTTATACAGAAGAAAAATTCTTTTCGCTTTTCAAAAATATTATAAACTTTATCGAAGACAAGTTACATTCGGTTAATTTGAATGAGTAAACCGAAATTTTAGTTCTAGTGTTTTAAAAATTAATATACTTAATTGATATATTAAACCTATTAGGATTCAGAATATATTTTGAATAAATTGGATGCTTATAATGAACTTACGATATATTTTCGGATATAAACTTATGAAATAAGTGAAGCAAAATTTTTTCTATAAAAAAGGGGATATTATCCCACGAATAAATAAATAAATAAATAAATAACAAAATTTACTTGAATGCATTATATATTTTTCTGTGTATACAGCTGCTGCCGCGATAGGTTCTTATTGATCGGTCTATCTTTTGTGGTTTAGCCATTGTCTAGCCATTACATATCAAATATGATAGAACAGATGGCACTGTCTATTCAAAATGTATGATCTAGCTACTATATATTTATGCATAATATATAGCAGCTGTATATATATATATATATATCTACCTATAATATATGTGTCACATTTAAAAATGAGGTGGCATATTAAAGTTGAAGGTACATAAGGTTGAGGTATATTATTTCATAGGAATCTTAAGAAAGGGTTAATCTAAAATCTCAAGTGAGCATTATAATACTGCTTGGTAACTAATTAAGATTTCCCTCTCGTAATTGTAATTTTTTTTAACCGTCAACTAACTTATTTATCTAGCCATTATCCACTATCCAACCACCGAGAGAAGTGAGTGTTGCGTTACTAGCTAACAGCGACCTTAGACCCAAATTTACTACCTCTTAGACACCCACGCGAGGTTCAGTTTCCACTATGGTTGAATCCCGGCTAAATACGTGCGATCTCCACGTTGATGACGCGTTGACGTCCGCCGTGCTTCACCTCTCGAATTTCTCGATTCGCCGAGAGAAGCGAACGAGAGAATAAAATCATTTATTCTCGGAACAGATTCTTCCCGAGCATAAAGAGCATCACGGAGCTGTCCCAGTCGAGCAACATGCGCTTCATGCAGTTCCGGGCGCACGACAAGTATGCACTGCATCTCAGCAAAATGGAAAAGGTACTCCTCAGTGCTACTACCGATGACAACTACTCCGATGAGCCTCCGATGGGCTCCCCGGTAACACGATATCACTCTCTGACCTCTCTGATTGATAATGGATTGACTGATTGTTGAATTGATTGATCGATTAACTACCAAACATCTCCGACGTTGTTGTCGCTCTCGTGCCGCGACTTAGCCGCTCGTCGAGTCCCGAGCCACTCGACGACTCAAAAATACGTCTCATCAATCACAGGATCTTTCTCCTCCTCCTCCTCCTTTTCCTCCTTTTTCTCTTCCTCCTCATCGTATGAGCGTATTAAATTCGCGATCGGCAAACAACAATCGGCGATAATGGGAGAAACGACGCGAGCTCGAGGGAATACTATCTCCTTCCCCTCTGTATTCACACTTCACCTTGCGCGCCGAACATGTATATACATTTTTCGACGCGGCTTTTATACGAATCTAATTTCGAACGGATGTAACACTCGCGGTTACGGCAGGGACTCAGGAGATACGCGTCCCGAGACTCCGTGCGATCGCCGATCTCGTAAAGTCTCGCCGCCGTCGTCGTCGTTGGGAGCAAGCGGAAAGAAATTACGAGAGTAAAGTCGCTCCGCGCGGAAACCACTTTGCTCTAAGTGCTGCTTTTGTCGTGTTGCCGCCGCCGTTGTTGCTGCTCTCATTGCGTGGCTTGTCAACTTGGTCGACGCCTTCGCGTGGCGTCACTTTGTTTCACATTGAGCCGTGATATCGAGAGATATCGCGCGCGATGAGAAAACCGAGACAAATTCTTTTTAATAGAAGCCCGAAGAGAGGCGAATGAACGCCCGTGGCGACGTAATCGCATTACGCGTCTCGTTATGTTCTCTCGTCGGCCTCCCGACGCTGGGCTCTATTGCGTACCACCCGACGAGATGAATTCTCATTCCCCGGCAGAATAACGGGTCCTCAGGATCGGATTAGAAAACAGCCGGGCGGCAATAATCGCCACGATGAGCACGAATTAACGGGCGCGAATCGAACGCTCGCGAGTTGAACGGCCGCGCGAGTACGCCCATCGCGAGAGCGACGAGAACGTGGAAAACACTGATGACTCTTTAAGAACCATCTAGTAGAGGTAGTAGTCGCTTAAGTAAATCTCGATGCATGGGTCACGATGATTCTAATTAGAATCCTTTAAGTAAGAGCCTGGCCACCTTCGACTTTTTGATTAGAAATGACATCCGGTTCGTCAATAGACTCTCTTTATCTATGAAGAGTGTTTACGTAATAAAACATTTTTTGTTTAAAACGGCTCACTGAAATTTTGAGCTACTTTAACATGAGGAATGTATCAATAAGTACACAAATATAATGTTAAATTAATGCATTTACCATGTTAAAATAATACAAAATTTCAGTGGACCGTTTCAACACAAAATTTGTTACTGTGTACAATATATTGAATTTAGACATATTTTTCTAAAGATATATAATACACACACACGCGTGCGCGCGCGCGCGCACGCACGCATGTACGCACGCACATACACATATTCGTACACATGAATTATATATATATATATATACGAGGTTGGGAAGAGAGAGAGAGAGAGAGAGAGAAAGAGAGAAAATTATTCGTTACTTGTAACGCCGTTTATTTTTTCCAATATGATTTAAATGATTTAATAACGACGATAATGCGTTAGTGTAATAAAAAGTCAAGAGTAACGCGTTACTCCCAACTCTCTCTCTTTATATATATATAGTATTATTTATAAAAATAAATGTTTAATTTCTTAGAAATCAATTTTTTTTATTACTTTATTATTATTTACCTCTTATCTTAGAACGCCATTTAATTACAAATGGTTCCTTTTTCTGACAATCCTGAGTTCTGTCATTTTTTATCAAAAGGAACTAAATCAATTGGTAAGAAGTGGCCGAGATGGCCAAACTTTTACTGAGGGACTTTAATTCTGATCTGGTTAGACACACTCATACACAATGTACATAAATTCCACTTTGTCTCGATACATACACATATTCCTATATATAGTAATGGTGAACTTATGCGACAATTGTTTTCTCTTCAGAGTTCCTTGATCTTTGATCGCGCGGCTAGCATGGTGACTCATGCCTTGAAATCGATGCCTTATGCTTACGTAGATTAGATGGTCCTCCTGAGTGGAGTATCACGATATAGCATAAGTTTTCTTTACTTTCTCACCTTATGCAAGCGTATATTTCTTTTCGTGTGTCGTATCTGCCGCATGACACGTTATGCTGATCTCTGCTATCACATTCGGTAACTCTCCCACGATTTCTGAATCTCGATTTTTTAGTGCTATGCTAAATGTGACGGATGTGCTAGTTCCAAAGTTGCATTGTACATAACAATCATTCGTGGATTTGCTTCTCTCTCTCTCTCTCTCTCTCTTTCTCACATAAAGTAATTAACTGGATGGACAAATTGTTCTATAAATCACGCAATCACATCTGTGGCTTAGAGCTGGGAACAACGGGCTGTGCGGTTCGAGCGAAAATCGGTGAATGCAATCCACACCATGGGCAGAACTAAACAAAGCGAGTCGATCGATGTCGGTCGACGATCGCGATAATGCGTGTAGACAAACCATTGTAGCATCGCAAAATGCTCGAAACGCCGTCGACCGTTTCAGCCGTAAGCTACGGGTACATCGATACAAGTCTCATTACTCGTTAACTATCACTCTTGTCGGCCGAAATCTGTGCACCACGATGCGTTTATGCGTTAACCGTGTACTGTTCGCAGAGGGAAAAGGAAAGAGGATCCCACATATCGTACATGTTCCGACTGCCGTTCGCCGCCGGTAGCGTCTTCAGCGCCTCGATGCTGGATACTCTGCTTTATCAGGCCTTCGTCAAAGATTACGTGATAACGTTCGTCAGGCTGTTACTGGGAGTGGACCAAGCGCCGGGATCCGGATTTCTCACGTCGGTAAGCGGTCTCGCTTTTTAAATCAATCCCGCTAATAATCGGAGACTATCCAATTGAAAATTATCCGGTTGCAATAAACTAAATAGTTAGGAACTATCCAGTTGTAACAAACAACTATCTAATCGAAAACTATCCAGTTGTAATAAACAAATATTTGAAAGCTATCCAGTTATAATAAATAACTGTTTAATTAAAAACTATCTAGTTGTAATAAAAAAACTATTTGAAGGTATCAACTTGTAATAGTTGAAAGTTGTCTTGTTGTAATAAATAATGATCTAGTCGTAACGAAAAAAGAAGCAGGAGAAGAAAAGAAAGAAATCTAATCCACGACGACGATGATCGCAGATGCGCATAACGAAGGACGACATGTGGATAAGGACATACGGCAGGCTGTACCAAAAGCTTTGCTCGACCACCTGCGAGATCCCGATCGGCATATACAGGACGCAGGACACCACGGTGGCCGATTCCTCGCACGTAAGCACGATTTCTCACCTCGTCAGCAGCAGCGAGTGCGAGTGAGCTAGCCAGAGTAGTTTGTTCACTTACTTGTCTGTATACTCTCTCATAAGAACAGGAAAAGATCTTTGAATGGCGGCTGTGAGTAGCGCGCATGGTTGTGCTCTCGCTCTCTCTTTCTCTCTTAGTTTCTCGTCCTCCTCTCGTTCAACCAGCCCATTATCTTTCTCTTTGTCATTCCTCGGCCCGATCCTCGGCGCGCTCGTAAGTTTTATTCTCTTTTTTTTTCTTTCTAATTCGCGGGACCGAGGCGAGCGTTTTGCATCTTGACGAACTGACTCCTTCATAGCACGTTGTCTCGCTCTTTCCCCGTCCTGTCGACCGGCCGTCTCTGAACGTCTCTTGCATCGTGCTAGACTCTTGCATCGTGCTAGACTCGCTCGCGACACGCTTGTCTCGTGCGGTAATTTCGATCGCGGCCGATGATCGAATTATAGTTCGCCGACCGATACAACTCCATCCACCGGTGCAATTATACCGTGCCCACCACTCATCTATGATTCGCTAAACATGCACTGCGCTCGGGGTGATAGACGCGAGAGGTGCGGCGCGCGCGCGGAGTCCGCGGAGCCAGTGCGAAAATCGCTCCTCGGTATTGGCGAAGCGCTATCATTAATAAGGGTAGAAATTGCTTGTCGTTTTAGCAGGGCGACTCAGACGCGGAAAGCGACGCCGGCGTCGGTGTGACGTACAAGGTGCGTCATTCGGCGGCAGCATCGTGTCTTGCGAATTGCGCCACCCGCGACAAGGGTGCATCTGCTGTGAGTAAAACGTCGACGGTGGCTGTTTTCTTCTTCTCCTCCGGCCGTTTTGTGTGTAACTCCGCCTGACTCTACCACCGCCTCTTTGTCTCTTACTTTCTTTCTCTATCGTTATCATTCTGTCTCACTTTTTCTTTCTTTCTCTCTGCCGATATGTCTTCTCTCTGTTTCTTTCTCTCTCTATCTCTGTCTCTATCTACTTATCTGCCTGCACGGAGAAAAATCATTTAGAGGAACAGCAAATTTTATACTGTCGTAGCGACTAAATAAATTTATAGGATGTCCCTTATGTATGCTGTCCAATATTTTAAATTGATTTTTGAGGTCATTTTATGAAGAAAAGTTCGTATGAACTATGTTATCGTATGGACTTTTCCTCATAAAATGACCTGAAAAATTAATTCCTAAAATATTGGACAGTATACTTAACTCTCCGCCGGCAACGTGTAATTTAATACTTTCTGTTTGCGATATTATAAAAATCTGAACAAATTCTCGTATACTTTTGAAAGCTTCAATAACAAGTTTTTACAATTATAGAAATCAGATTATATTTATTTTTTAGAAATTGGAATTGGAACAGAAACATCAAAAAATGAGATTTCGATTAAAAATGTATAACTTTTATATGAATGAAAAAGACAAACCCTTTCAGACTATAATACTTAAGGGTATACTTCGGAAAAAAATAGTACAATGATATGTTAGTTCTAAAAAGTTGAATTATTTGAACACCTGATAATTAATTAATTAATTTTTTGGAGAAAGAAAATAAAATTTCATTTGAGAAAAAACATAAAATCAGTTAATTTTTATCAAAATTGGTGTATATATGCAAAAATACAAAAAATAAAAATATTTATAGCACAGTCTATACGATAATGCGTGCTGTGTTTTTCGCATTAGTTTAGCAATGAACAGCAATATATAATTTTTTTTATATTTAAAAAATATGTAAAACATCAAGAGATCTATCTACAAAAAAATCTTTATATTTTTGTCGAGATCAGTAAAAAAGTGATGTAAGACACCGAAAAATCTATTTTAAGCTTTATATATACATTGAAATTAATAAAAACATGTAAAATACGAAAAAGTCCAAATTATTAATTATTAAAATATTTACGTTGTCTACAGAAGGGACAAACGTGTATTCTAACTGTTCTTATTAGAAAATGAATAGCTGGATATTGGCGTGCACACGCATAATCTCACTATTTTTTAAGATTGAAATACTAAACCACGTTATTTATCAGTTATTCTAGAACACACAATAAAAAAATCGACGGGGTCTTCAAAGACCCACGTTGCCGGCGAATGGTTAGAAAACATTCTGTATATTTATTTGCTGCAACATAAAAAAAATGTATTGTCTCTCTACATTATCTTTCGCCGTATATCTATTTCTCTCTTTCCCCCTCTTTCTTTCCTCTCATTCACATCTGATGGACGTCCAGATCGTCTGCCGCAGCACAACAGCGCATGCGAAACGCCGTGTCGTTGCATCCCCGACCGACCACGTTCTTACCAGGGATCTTCGAACGCCCTCGCGGGCTCGAAGCTATATTCTTATATTTCACATAGATTTAAGGACAGCCGAATGTGACGTCCGGCCGATATCGAGAGAAGGTGGCTGCGACGAAGGTGGTGGTAGCGGACGCTGCGACACGTCGCCGCAGCAGCAGAGTTTGTTAAACCACTTGTTGCATGCATGACGCATGGTGATAATAAATGTGTGTGTGTGTGTGTGTGTATATATGTGCCTGTCCAATTTCGATCTCGTCGCACACAACGGTGTTCAGCGAACAGTAGCTAACCGTTTCGGAAAGCTTATTATCATCGTACAATAGCGGATACGTACAATTAGCGGATTGATAGCAATCTCCGATGCGCGATTAATGTCCTTACTTGAATACACGACGATGATATCGATTCGAAAACGAAGTCACGTTGTCAATCGTCGACTTAAATTCAGCTCGAGACAACAAAATTGATCAATGATTTAGACGGACGGTCGTTATCTCATCGGAAAACAGACAGTCTCATCTCTCGAATGTATTTTGTTTCACGTCTCTACGACTCTTCTATGCGGAGATATCGACGAGCGGCAAATCCTTTGTCGGAGACGACCCCGGGTACAATGTTGCGCCACTGGCTCTTTGTAATCGAGTGCGTCGTCGTTTTTGGACGTAGAGTCAAGTGCGACGCGTGAACGTACGCAATTTGGCCTGTTCTTTTTAGTTGAACTGGCTGCACTAGTTCAAGAAATTTATATACACATTCAAGCGTATGTGCGAGATTCTCACGCTTCAGTGTGCGTAAATTTCTTGAACTAGTGCCAGACAATTCAATTGAAAAGAATACGCGTGCTGCCGTGGCGACACACAGAAGCGCCGCTTATAAAAACTCGAAACTCTTTAAACGCCTGTATCTCAGCGAAAAATGTGCGTAGGAACGTGAAACAAACGCCATTCTCTTTAGCTTTTCGCGCAGCACACGTCATCGTGTATGTTCTTGTCATAACACATGTTCATATGTGTAATTTCGACACGCACGGTGAAAAATTTTGTGTTAAATTTAACACATTTCACATGTTCCAAACAGTTCACACAAATTTTTGTGTGTTAATTTAACATAAGGGTAGTGAATATATTAACAAGTAACATAAATATTATGTCAGAAAAATATACAAAATTAATATCCATCACATGTTAACGACACTGAAGTACAAAATGTATTATTATAATATTATAATATGTGTCATTTTACAAGCATTATTTTAACACTTACACGTGTTGAATATCGATCCAACACAGAAAATATTGAGTAAAATAAACACAATATATTAAATTAATGTACGAGTACGGAAGTATGCAAGCATAGGTAATAAATACCTTAGAAACGATACGGTAAAAATTATTGAAATTCCTGTTATGCATTGTTAATTCGATTAACTTTTGTATCATGTATATGTTATAGATTTATTTTATATTTGGTCAAACGCACTCGAGTTTCTTTAAGACAAAAATTTCAACACAAGTCTCAGACAGAAATTTCAACAAAATGTCTTTCACTGTGCCTGTTACGCGCGATGTATCGTTGTGATACAGAGAGAAAGAGAGAGATGCCGGAACGCAATTGGACAAATAAAAAATATCTCGCAAAAAGTATATGCAAAGTTTGCATCGCACAACGTATGGAGTTTCACGCGCAACACGTTCGGGAAGTTCCGCGAGACAATTTCCTCCGTAATCAATCATCATTTTTCCCAAACAATAGGCGCGCGTCGTAATTTCATGAGCCGGTCCGTTATTACAGAGCCAGCGCGAAATTCCATATAGATATTCGGAAACGAGAAGAGAAAAAAATCGGCATAACGATCGATGCGTGACCCACCTCGCGTCGATATCGCCTGTCCGTCTATGCGCGACGCAGCCCCGCTGATTTCTTTTTCATATGCCCGCCAGTACTCGGTGAGCCTCGGCGACGAGGCGCGCGACAACCACGCGCAGCAGATCGAGCGGGCGGAGATCGCGAACCTGGTGCGCTCGCGGATGGAGTCGCTGAACCTGCCGATCGCCGACTACGACGACGTCTCGGAGAAGCGCAACAGCCTCTCCTACGTAATCATCAACCCGAGCTGCGACCTGAAGCTCGAGGAGGGCGACATCGTCTACCTGGTGCGGCCCAGCCCGTTCTCCGCGCAGAAGACCTTCGAGCGGCACAACTCCCGGCGCAAGAGCAACATCAGCTTCTGCTCGGCGCAGCTGGTGTCGCAGATGAGCGCGGCGGTCGCGGCGGCCAGTCTGCAGGCCGGTGCGCCGACCAGCCGTCGTGGCTCCAGCATAGGACTGGCGAGAGCGCCGCCGTTGGGCACAACCAAGTCAAACTCATTATCCTTACCCGACAGCCCGACCGTGGCGGGCACTCTACGCGGTCGGTCCAATTCACTGAGGGTGGTCGACGACATCCTGCTGCGGCGCAGCAATTCCCTGAGGCAGGGTCTCACGACGACCAGGCGGAAGAGCAGCCTGGAAGACATCGGTCTGGGCGCGCTCTCCCATCATACCAACCACAATCCGATCAAGATCGCGTTGAACGGCTCGATCGGCCTAGAGGTGACGCCGCCGGAGGAGGGCTCGCAGGGTGGCGGTGCCAGCAACACCGGTATCCTCGACGTCGGCTTGCCCTCCATGCCGGAGCTGAACGCGGCGTTGGGGCCCAGCCTCGGCGCAGGCCTCGGTGGTTCTTTGGGCGGACTTTACGACCCACCGTCTCTGCAGTGCCCGATGGGCTCGCCCTGCCAGTCGCCGCAGTTGCAAGGCGCCACGCAGGACCCACAGCACATACAGGGGACGATAGTATGATATAACCTAATGTGGGGACGCAGGCTCTCCGGCGTGGCGCGTAACAAGTGGCTGTAGCGTTCCCACATGGCGTTCAGGGCTGAGCGACGAGAACGGCGATCGTAGCGAGTCGTAGGGAGAGAGAGGAGGGCGTACACGACCAACGTGCTAATGTCTGTCGTCGGACTGACTGATCCGCGGAACGAGGTGTGCAACCACCGTACAAATACCGTCGTGACGGCTAAGCGTCGGAGAATCGTCTCTTGCGATGCTTTCCTCGGCTGAGGTGAGTTTGGCGCGAGAAACCGCCAGAGGCGAGATCAGCCCGCCTCGGTCGATTGTGACCGGAAGCGCGAACTTTATGAACCGAATCGTGTTACCGACCGTGAGTCGAGGATCGCGTCGACAGTCACAAATTAGAATCAAAAGATTCCGGCTTCTTTCGCGCACGGAGAAAGATCATTTAGGAGAGCAAATTTTATGCTGTCGTTGCAAATAAGGGGATATACAGGGTATTTCTTAATATTGTCCGACTAGTTTCGAGCGCAAAACTCAAAATCGCAAGGCGTGCAGTCGTGTGTACAGAATATAAATCCGAACACGAAACAAACCATGTGTCCAACGAAAGGATGATGGCATCTACATTTACCTTTTCATGCGTATTCCATATCTCATGTGTCATCTAATGTAAACATTCTTGAGAAATTGATATGATAAAAACTATAATTATGCATGGACCAGCTTTCCAATATATCACGTAAATTATATGTAAGTCTGATCATTTTATAATAAATACATAATTGTTCATTTTGTTTTTCTTTTTATTAATATATATTGTGCACAAATGATAATTTATTGTTTCCATTCAATGTTTTTATAAGTTGTTCATAAAATAATAATTATTTCATTTATTGAAATCAATACCCATGTATGGTGACGCGGAAGTTTATAAGTGTTAGATATTTTCCAATATTTCATAAGTTGATTTTTCAGGTTATCTTATGAAGAACTGAACGTATGTTCACATATGAACACTTCTACTTAAAATGACTTGAAAAACAATTTTTTAAATATTGGATAGATATAAGAGGTAGTACTATTTGCGATATATTCGAAGCTTCAAAACTTCGGTATAATTCGACATTTGACGACAAAATTCGAAAATTCGAAGTCGAATTCTTCGAAGCTTCGAATTCTACTCGAAGATTTGAAATATCGAAGTTGTTAATAGAACTAATTCTGGAAAGTGCAAAAAGAATCTATATAAACGCGTAATATTTCTAGAATATTATATGAATATTATTTAATATTTTTATTTAATATTTAATTAAAATAATATTTTTATAATATTCTAAGAATGTTATGTAAGCTATTTCTTAATGTTATAGGAATGTTCCATTGATGTTATATGTCCACATTCAATATTCTTGGTGTATTATAAAAATATTCTTAGAATATTAAAAAGAAAATAACATAATAATAATATAGGAAAATATATACAAATAAAAAAAAATATATATAATGTATATGTGTGTGTGTGTGTGTGTGTGTGTGTGTGTGTGTGTGTGTGTGTGTGTGTGTGTGTGTGTGTGTGTGTGTGTGTGTGTGTGTGTGTGTGTGTGTGTGTGTGTGTGTGTGTGTGTGTGTGTGTGTGTGTGTGTGTGTGTGTGTGTGTGTGTGTGTGTGTGTGTGTGTGTGTGTGTGTGTGTGTGTGTGTGTGTGTGTGTGTGTGTGTGTGTGTGTGTGTGTGTGTGTGTGTGTGTGTGTGTGTGTGTGTGTGTGTGTGTGTGTGTGTGTGTGTGTGTGTGTGTGTGTGTGTGTGTGTGTGTGTGTGTGTGTGTGTGTGTGTGTGTGTGTGTGTGTGTGTGTGTGTGTGTGTGTGTGTGTGTGTGTGTGTGTGTGTGTGTGTGTGTGTGTGTGTGTGTGTGTGTGTGTGTGTGTGTGTGTGTGTGTGTGTGTGTGTGTGTGTGTGTGTGTGTGTGTGTGTGTGTGTGTGTGTGTGTGTGTGTGTGTGTGNTCTTTCTTAAATATTACTAGAAATGGACATATAACCATCTATTGATATTCCAGAAATATTATATTATTCCATAATATTATTTAATATTAAATAATATTACGCGTTTAAAGAGAATGCTATGCAATTAATATCAATATCTTTAGCACAATTTTGAGATTTGTTGTCTAGTTTAAAACAAAATGAATGAAGGAGCACAAATAACAAATAACAAATCTCGTTAATTTTATTTTAAAATAAATGCAAATTTTGCCATGATATGCAACAGCATAACACAATGCAAGAAAAAATTACGTTCTTTAAGACAGTAAATATTATTTACTATACTTGCAAAAAAAACACATATTTTCCAGTTCTTGAAGTTTCGAAACATTCAAACATTCGAACATTCGAATATTCTAATATTTAAATATTATTATTATATTTCAAATTTTCGCACTTAAAAATTTTATTATTCGAATATAATGTGTCGAAGGTTTCAGAAATTCGAAACTTCGAATATAATTTCTAGCTCTAGACAATATAGCAAAGAAACGCCCTGTATATTCATTAATTCGCTACGACAATGTAAAATTTGCTGTTCCTGCCGATAATTTTCCACCGATTTTCCGCAGCGTGCTGCCGCTCCCACCCCAACTTACTTACGGTAGTTCCTTTCTTTCGCTTGCGTTTGCGGCGGCGCGACAATTCGTGGACCTAAGCCCAGAGTAAGTAAGTATATCGAATCGTAACTGTGATACGTCGGACCCGCTGACATTCCTCGCGCGGAAGCGCGTGGACCGCGCTGTGGCTTCGCGGTGGCTCCTCGTCGCCAGAAGTTCTCAAACGCTGCCCAGTGTCAACGATGCGCGAGAAGTTGCGTCGACGCGCCAGCCGGGATGTCAACGCGTGCGTTATCTTGCTTGCCGAAGGGTTGTAAATTATTACATTGTTGCGAGAGCTTCGATTCGGCGTGTATACTTTACCTTTTGTAACTCGTACCTGTAGCGTGCTGCGTTCTCAAAACGTTTTACTCTCTAGACGTCGCCTCTCTGGCGTCCCGACGTCCGTGCGTGCACGATTCATCGTCATTCGACGCGCGGCGTGAAGCCGGCGCGAAAGAAGCGCGCGCGGCGACCGACGAGCGTGTATCCCGCGACTCACTCTCTGAGAAGAGACTTGAGAGCGTCAGATATATATTATATATTGTCGTGAAGCGATGCGTCATTTTCTAGACACTGAAATTAATCTCCGGCGCACGCGCCGTGCCCGTCGTCAAGCCACGAAGCAGTCTATTCTGCGTACCTTAGCCGATACACGACGACAACAAAGGCGAGAGAAATATTTTAATGATGTAACGCGAAATACGGGGGGCTGTTAATATACATCCTACTGCTCGAATAAAGACATTTAAAGACGTATCGAAGCATCTGCGAGGAGCGAAAGCAATAGGGATCTTTCTTCTTTCTGCTCCTTCGTTGGCACGTCTCCAAATTAGCAGGCGCTCTCGCGGAACTTATTAAACACTGTCTGATCTCACCGTCTTGTCGATGCCAAAGAAGCTTTCTTCTAAGAGATACCTTGCAATTCTATGATTAACGTCTCTCACTTTTGTCAATAATTCATCTATTTTCTCGTTACATCATTTCCGTCTTCTCGACTCTCAGGCCGAAGTCGACTCATTATATGGTCGGCATCATGTATGTTGTACCGTCCCCTACATCGAAAATTAGATGATTTTCAGCCTACACAAGCAGACATAAAGTCGAAACCGTTATAATCAGAGCCATTGTATATCTATATCTTATATATCTTATATTATAATTATTGTTACTTATGCGATTATCAACCTTATGGGCTATGATATAAGGCTGAAAATCGTATAATTTCCTGTCTACTGAATGGTGTAATCAGCGGGGCATGTATGCTACACCATTTCCCGGGTCGAAACTTTTTACCGTTATACAATTTGTAGCCTTTCACATGTACACACAAAATCGAAGGCTATTATAATTAGAACCATTATAATCCTGTCGTTATAACTAGAGTTACTTCTGCGATTTTCAACCTTATGTGTAAGGCTGAAAATCGATGTAACTCTGCGTCTAAGGAATGATACAACACACACGACACCGACTGTGCATGACCGCTCGTCCGTCGTCCATCCCACAAAGTTCTCACGAAACGCGAGAACACAACCAGAGACGTTTTCCGCCAGGCAGTGGTCTGAAAGTAAAAATTTTCGGCCAAAATTCTGAATCTTGATAAAAATGATTTTGTACGCGTAAAACATGTCTTTAAAGGAGAAAATTAGCTATTTATAAGTGACTCGATATTTATCCCGCTTCTTTTTTAGATACATACGAAATAACTCTATTTTCTTAATAATAGCTTCTCCTAAAAGCTATGTTATTTACAATATTCTTGAATAGTAAAAGAATTTACATAATTTTGGGAAGAATTTTGCATCATTTATTATGAATACTTTAATTTTCTGATTCTTTCCAAATCTTATATAAAGTTCGATGAAACATGTTACACAGATCTAAAAAAAAGATCACTTATTTTCAAAAAGCATAAAATGAATATAACAGATTTTGATAGTGTAAATGTTGACTATTATTATATAACTGTAGTTTACTTTTCAGAAACTTTCAGAAACTCGTAAAACTTTTCTCGAAGTATTAGCAAGAAAACACTTTTCCATTGTAAGGTGACGCTTATTTCAACCACAAATCTAATTATTGTCTTGCTTCAGAAATAAAAAGAACACAACATAATAAGAAATTATTTACTTCGTGCATGCTCTTTTAGTATATTAAATACATATAATACTACCATATACTACTATTTAAAATAATATATGTAGCACAATTTTGACAATGCGACACCTGTGACTAAAGATTACCTTTGAGTAATCAATATTTTTAACACCACATCTACCGATGAGTGATAAAAGAATAATAAACGATAACGATTTACGATTATCTGACGATTATAAGACATTATAAAACCGCGTTTACATCACCTTGAGGTGATAAAAAACTCTTGGCCGAGAAATATCAATCTCAGACCACTGTGAAGGCGCACTTCGATTCCTATGTAGCGTCGCGCTCCAGCGATGTCGAGTGCGAATAATTTTATATTAGCGAGACTTAATAACGCGCGTCGAAAGAGAGTCTATTGTATACATATTACAGGTACGATGTATGACCATTTTAATCATATCACACGCGAGAAAGAGAGAGAGAGAGATAGAGATAGAGTCTCGCTCGCGGAAAATCTCACCGCGAGTTATATACCCTACGTATACATATTAAAGGATAGAACACAAAGAGTATTTTAGAAAAGACTCTCAAGTGCTTAGGACTAAAACGCGCGTACGTCGTGACTTTAAAGCGTGACTGAGATGTGAGAGAGATTGTCCCACGTTGGATTACAGTGTCGCGTCGCAGGACGATCGTCGACCGCGAATTCCCCGCGCCGACGCCGGGGAGAGACCGGCGACACGTCGACATCTCTGAGCGAAACGCGCGAACGAAGCCGCGGACAAAATTACGAGGTAGACTCGAGTCCCGTTCGCGGACGAACCACATACGAGAAACTATTAGCGTTACTATTACTATTACTACTACCGTTATTACTAATACTACTATAACTACTACTTCTTCTTCTTCTTCATCATCTTCTTCTACTTCTTCTTCTGCTCCGTTTACTCTTGTATTAGTTTCAGTCTCAATCCGCGTCTCCTGGGACGCAAGTCGTCCCACGGAACGTTGGTTAGTTAGCGCGTGAGCACGATTGTTCCCGCTTGATTTCGACAATCCGTTCGATCAGTCATTAGTCGGAAGGACGCAC